GCAATTTTTTCCCCTTTAAACTCAAGTTCTTTCTTCTGATTCTAGCTACTTTGATAAAAACTAAAGACTGGAAACTATGATTTCATTGGCATAGGAAATGCCTGAAAAAGGAGAATCCTTCTACCAATATAAGCTGATACCTCTTCTGCAACAAACATAGTCATACTAAATAATTATTGTTATATAATTATAGCCTCTTTGATAACATCTTATTTCAATATTCTCAATTGGAATTGGCTTATTTTTCCCCTCTACTCGTAATCAGCTAAATGACCTCTAAGGATCCTTCTAGCTATAAAATCTATAACCTAAAGAATGGTGGAGATGATAAAAGAAAAAAATAAGCAATCTCAATTATTTAAAATTAAAACACTTACGCACAAATACCAGTGCTAACTGGACTGGTTATTCCATCTTTTACATTTTCCCTAAAGGGGAATTTGATGGAGGAGAAGCCTGTCATGGGACTCTTGACTCCTACTCTCCCACTCAGCTTTCAGCAGCAGAACACAGCTGCTTTTGAAATGTCCATTTCTATTTTTTAAATATGTTTTTAAATATATTCTTAATATATATGTGTCTATGTATTAAAAATGTGGATGGTAAGTTGAACCTGAGCCAATTCTATTTATTTGAATGCTTGCAGTGGGATTAGAAACTGAGGAAAGGGAATTTGGGAAGGGAAGCGGATTTAAAACATTAAGTTGTCCCTATACAAGCCAAATTAATTTCTGTCTGGGGGTTCAAGAGGAGAGAGAGAGGAGTTGATATCCATTTGAGTGAGGGAAAAGCAGCAATGTTTGGGACATGATATCCTGAGCATATGTGAGTCTTGTAATCACAAGGAAGTGAATAAAGCATAAGGCAGCTGACATCTCTTTTCTTTACCCTAAAAGTCCAAATTGAGTTTGAGAAGAGTCTAAAGAAAAGGAATGAGGTAGATTAGCATGCCTAGCTAGGCCTAGCTCAGTAGAAGTAGAAGTAGATAGACTGATAGCAACTTTTGCTGAGCTGGCCAGTGTCACATGTTGGTTGTACATGGATAGGCATTTATGACAAGCAAGAAAACAGAAGCCACTCATGAACATAGCAGATTGGGTGTTTTCCCCTTCCTCACCTTTGTTCAAGATATGGACGTTTCCTTCAAGATATAAGTAATGGAAAGTGGTTGTAACTGTAGTGGAGGGACACTTCTTGCCATCTTCCCTTGAGACCATAAACTTAGAGAACTACAGCAGGACTTTATATTATGCCAAGACCCATTATCAGAGAGTTAAGAGCACACAATCAAGGGTTAGCATAAGGAAAACTGACTCTGGAGTAGGTAGAGAGCCAAAGAAAGTTCGAAAACCTCAGCAACTGATAAGGGGAACTCCCAACACCAATCTCTACACTATTACCACCACCCTCAAAGCCAACAAAACACACACACACACACACACCACACACACACACACACACACACACATCTAGATTCACCTTTGTTTTCTCCAAAATCTAGAATACTGTCCTGGATCCCAGCATCTATACCCTTCCTTATTCCATTTCTATGACATGGTTGTGAAAGGTGGTTTCTTCGGAATTTCAGTGTTAAATAAACTGAATGACCATCAAATCCTGTTTACCTGAGTCTTACACATGTGATGAATAGTTGACAGAGTTCAGTAAATTTCCAAGAGGCTGAGTAGTGTCTTGAGTATTAATTCAGAATGAGGTCAGTAAGTATTTCACTTTGCTTAGCTCTTTGAAGCAGGAGCCTTGACAGGGTCAGACAAAGTACATGGGACTTTTACAGGATCACTGGACTATTGGCTGGATTCGAATGTCAGCTGATGGGCAAAATTAAAAACTATATTCTCTTGCTGGTTAATGGTAACATGATACCTAATTTCATTTATCAGTTTATGGAAGGTAAGGCATAAGTCAGTGTGCAATGCTGCAATTACTGAATTGCCTTGTGTCATTTGTGATGCACACCAAGTATACATACTGTCTGTACTTTCTTGCTTGAATCTTTATTCTTTCTTTCTCTTTCTCTCTTTTTCTCTTTCTTCCTTCCCTTTCTTTTCCTTCCTTCCTTTATTTTGTCTGATTTCTTTTATCTTAGGGATTAGGTATATCTTAGAAACACACAAAAGTCACAGTCAAGGACATTCAACCTGGACTTTTTTTTTCTTAATCATTCTGAATTTTTAGCAGAATTTTAGCTTTGTTTGGTTATTTTTCTGGAACTTTTTTTTTTTACAGATTCAGACTTTGAAATATTACCTGTATCCTTCACTGAAATTGATTTTTTTTCCAGTTCAGATTTTTGGTATCATTTTTTCATTTCAATTTTTTTGTTCTGGATCTCCTGATGGAATTTCCTTTCTCATGATTGACTCACTGGATCTCAGGACTACAAATTCATTGTGTTTATAAACAATATTGGTTGTTGAATATTTTCATGTACTATTGATAAGTCACTGCTTATTTGTATGTGGCTATGATTTACTGAATAGGATGTGCTTGCTCATATGCTGGCTGGTTTTGTAGGTGGTCCACTTACAGTTTGTTATCTATATCTTCATAGTTCTATGAATGTTGACTCACAGTGGCATAATTTGCTTTATCTATTTCACTACTTTGATTTGGCATGAGCTGCTGAATGTTTGATTTAGCATTCATTTAGTTTATCTAATACAGTATTATTGATTTATTGAATTGTTTAACTAAAATTTTAATGACATGGAAATCAAAACTCTAGAAAAGTTTTGTGAAACAAAGCATATATAATAAGTACATCTACTGTAAGAGTTTATATGTATACTTATATTTATGTATACTATAGCACCTCATACATCTCACATAGGACATATACCTAGTTGCTCTAGTCCAACTTGCTCCGCCCAGCCTGTCCTCACATTGGCAGGTCTAGTTTCCCAGAGAGGGACCACCACCATGTGATCACACACAAATTTCTTTTCTTTTGGGGGGAAATACTACCCCTACCCATCATTTCAGGTCTCTCAACCTCACCAATGTGTTTCAATTTACACAGCAAGCCACTCAAAATGATACTTTTATATGTTAAACATAACAATTTACTTAACAAGGCAAAAAATAACATAAGATGTTCTTACATCAAAGCACATATAAAAATTAGTATATTGCAATCTACATATAACCTGGGTCACACTTTCCCACCACTGAACTTAGTATGTGTGGGATAGAGTGGATATACACCTAAAGAATCTTGTCAAGGATATATGAGTGAGGAAAATTCATGTACTCAGATTAACTCAAATCTGGAGCTGAAAACCACTGTCTTCTTTCTGTCTCGGGAACCGTCCTTAAAAGTTGATGAACTTAGTTTATGTGCTGAACAGATGCTGGAACTATTACACTGAATTGATCCACCTTGTGCTTGACTATGATTTCCCTGGCCGCAACATCTCAGACAAACTAGATAATCTTCTGGACAATTTCCCTGATTCCAATCTCTTCCTTTCCTCAGCTACATGTACTCTTAACTACAAATGGTATTACCTTTTATTTTCAGCCATTGGCCAAGGCTGTTAGATTTTTGAAATCAATCTCATTCTCTCTCTCTCTCTCTCTCTCTCTCTCTCTCTCTCTCTCTCTCTCTCTCTCTCTCTCTCTCTCTCTCTCTCTCTCTCTCTCTATGTGTGTGTCTTGCCTCTTCTCTCTGCCTCTTTTTTCTCTCCCTACTAGCCTCTCCTTCTCTCTTTCTCCTTTTCCCACTCTTCCTCTTTTGTCTTATATTTCAGTATTCAGACTCTTTGTCCTCTCTGCAAACAACCCCACCTTAGGTTATGGTTAGTAAGCAAAATCTCATTTGTTTATAATCATATAAACTGTATTTGATACCCATACCTCTCCAGTATGTTTCTGCATTCATTTTTAGCATCACATTTTCTCAGAACAAAATCAGAGTAATTTTTTCTAAGAATTCTGAGTAAAGCAGACTTAATTCAGAAATAAATATGTTGAAATGAAAGGGCAGTACTTTAAAGGGACAGTATTTCACTCATATAAAAAGACAACAATGTCTTTAGTCCTAGAAGTAAATCTTGAATATAAAAATAATTTTGTTATTTGAAAATGGAGAAGGGCTGTAACCAACTTGGGCTGACATGATTCTGTGACTTCTGCTACAGCCATGGTTTAGATTTTTGATATACTCGAGAAGCGAATGCTAAATTTGTCTCACAGAAGCTGCATTCTAGTGGGCTCCCCTAGAGAAATAAAGAGAAAGCCTAGGACAGGAGTCCTCCCAGACTCTGAAAAGAGGAGATCAGAACTGATCATCAGTTCATTGTTGGCCCATCCCAACTAGAGTTATAGGACCCTGTACAGAAGTGATGGCGAAGATTAAAATATGGAATCACTTTTACACTGGATAATGGATTTTAAATGACCAATTATTCTATGAGAAATATTTAAGGGAAGTATCTTATAGTCTATGAAAAGACTAGGGCTTATAGTGAGTAACAAAGACCATTCACATTTGTAATACACAAAGTCTGAAGTAGATCAAGAAGGCTCTTAAAAAATCCAAAGAGAAACAACAGAAAGTAGTTCCATCCTGCTCAGAACTATTAAAAAATAACAGGTAGCCAGAAATCTATGGATGCTGAGAAAGAGGAACTCTGCATAAGCTACCAGGGAGCCAGAGAACACAAGGGAAACAGGCCATAAGCCTGCCAATAGTTGTTCCAAGGATGCTCTAGAAGCACCTAAAGCCTGCAGAGATCTATGGATGGACACGGGAAACAGAGCATTTCAGCAGAGAAGCTCCACAAAGATTAAAAATTGGCAGTCATCTCACTTCTCTGACCATAGTTCTAGGGTCAAGAGTGAGCAGGTTTCTGACTGGGAATCTCTAGGATCTGGAGATATAAAGCACTAAGACCTAAGATGCTACAGAAAGACCTGAAGGCTACATTATTCTTATTCCAAACCATCCAAAGGGACTTGAAACCTACCAGGATTCTTACCATAAACAGACCAGAGGATCTGGAAGCCAGCAACAGGAGCTCAGGAAATCTAGTTCAGAATCAAGTAGGGTGTCACCATTCCATCTAAGAGTCTAGGACAGAGTACAGCCTGGCCCTAGAAAAAAGTAACAAACCAAGAGCTGACACAGAAGATACGAGTTAACAGAAAAAGTAGACGTTTCACATTATGAAGAAATACTGTGGGCAAAGGTGGTTGATTATTGCTGGACCTGGAGGCAGGAGACCTGAGTTCAAATTCACCCTCAGATACTTAATAGGTGCACGACCCTGGGCAAGGCACTTCACCCCTGCCTCACATTCCTTATTTGCAAAATGGCCTTAATAATAAATAGCGCCAGCCCCATAGGGTTTTTGTGAGAATCAAATAAGATAATATTTGTAAAGTGTGTAGGAAATGTTAAAGCATTATTTAATATTAGATTATTATTATTATTACTATTATTATTAATGAAGATGACAGTGATGGTAATGATAATTTATCACTACAAACTTTTCCTTTAAGTATTTAAAATAATTTCAATATAAAATAAAATGTAAAATGTACCACCTAGCTGACTTGGCAGAAAATTTGATAGCAAAATGATCATAATTAAGGACCTCAACATACCCCTTTCAGACACAGACAAATCTAATACAGATAAACAAGGAAGATTTTAAGGATCTGAAGAGACTTTTAGAAAAGTGATATGTGATAAATCTCTGGAAATTATTAAATGAGAAAAGAAAGCAAAACTTTAAACATAATAAACCTTATTAATAACAATAAAAAAATTAATCATATGATATCAATAGATGTAGAAAAGATAAAAAATAATATCCATTTCTGTTTATAAAATAGTAAAAATAAAAGGAAAACTATAAATAATTTTTCCTTAATATAAATAGAATCAATCTAAAAACAGATATGGGTATGTATGTATGGGGGGTTGTGGGGGTCTGGGTATGTGTATACATATGTGTGAGTGTATATATATAATATATTTTATATATATATATATATATATATATATATATATATACACACACACACACACACTGTGTATATGTATATATATAATGTATGTATGTGTGCATATGTGTATATATATAATATATATTATATATATTATGTATATATGTATATGTGTGCATACACACTATGTAGTGTGTATGCGCATATGTGTATATATATATAATATATATTATATATATTATGTATATATGTATATGTGTGCATACACACTATGTAGTGTGTATGCGCATATGTGTATATATATAATATATATTATATATATTATGTATATATGTATATGTGTGCATACACACTATGTAGTGTGTATGTAATGGAGAAATGCTAAAAGTTTTTCCAATAAGATCAGGCAGAGTTAAAGAAAATTCCATCATCACAACTACTATTTCATATAATGACAAGAATAAGACACTGAGGCAAACAAGTTAAGTGATTTCCTTGGAGTCACGTAGCTATGTTGAAGGAAAAATTCAAACTCAGTTATTCCTGACTCTAAAGTCCCACACTCTATTTACGGTACCACCTAGCCTTCCTGTGGATGTATTGTTCCTACAAAGGCTTATTAGAATTATTTTGGTTAGCTATTCACTGATTCCTATTATTAATACATTGTTTTCTCATTGATATGCATTTCTGATGCTCTATCCTTATTGTCTGTTTAGCATTTTGAGCCCTTCATGACATGGCTCTTCCTACCCTTCCAGTCTTCTTTCTGTTCCTTTAACACAACAGTCCTTTCCTAATCTTATGGCTATTCACTGGCTGTCCCCTATATGGATGGAATGCTCTCCTACCTCACTTTCTTCCTTCAAGGTACCACCTCACACATCAGATTGATCAAATTGACAAAAAAGGAAAATGATAAATCATAAAGAGGATGTAAGAAAACAAGTGTTTTCATGCACTATAGGTAGAGCTCTGAATTTGGCCAACTATTTGCCCAATCATTCTGTAGAACAATTTGGAACTATGCCCAAAATGGTATAAAACTGTACATACCCTTTGATGCAACTACTACATACATAACCCAAGGAGATCAAAGGAAAAGGACCTATATGTACTAGTAGCTAGTGTAGAGTTTTACATTTAATGCAGTATTTAATAATGATAATAATAATACCATTTATATAATGCTTACTAAGTGTCAGGTACTGTGATAAGCAATTTACAATTATTACATCATTTGATACTCACAACCCTGTGAGGTAGGTGTTATTGTTATCCCCACTCTACAGTTGAGAAAACTGAGGCAAACAGAGGCTAAAGTGACTTGTCTAGGGTTAGATACTGTGAGGCTGGATTTGAACTCAGGGCTGGCTTCCTCCTGACCCAGTGCTCTATCCATTGTACCACCTAGCTGCCTTATCAAATACACACAGATAGACACACACACACACAGTGTCTGTTACACTCCAGTAGATTCTTATTTCACATTTATATTTTCAGAATAACTCATTTATGCATTGACCATTAACATCAAGATTATGTTCTAAACAAATATAATACATATTAGAAACAAGCCTATTAGTACTGGGGGTGATGTGATGTGATGCTATGTTGGGCTAGTGATAAGGATTTTTATTTCCTTCTGTTGGCATCTACCCTTGTGTGGGTTAGGCTATCATTCCCAGTCTGTCCTTCAAGTCCTCACCTCTGAGGTGACCTCTCTAGCCATTCCTTGTGACCTTGTTCCTCTGGAAAAAAAAATGGCTTTTCTTTCAAGTTGAGCATGAATAGGAGGAAAAAATGGTCAAGGTCCACTTCTCATATGAGTCCTAACTAACAACAGCTGCTGACTCGTTTGCCCAGAACTGTCCAAATCTAAGTTTTCTGTGTTGTTTTGTTTTTTGTTTTGTTTTGTTTGTTTGGGGTTTGTTGTTGTTGTTATGGGAAGATAAAAACTTGTTCAATGATTCTCTTCTCTACATCTCTAAGCTGCCCTTAGTCAGGAAAACTGCTCTAGAAAATGTATATTGCAGGTGCCAAATCTCCCTCTCTCTCTCTCTCTCCTCTCTCTCTCTCTCTCTCTCTCTCTCTCTCTCTCTCTCTCTCTCTCTCTCTCTCTCTCTCTCTCTCTCTTCTCTCTCTCTCTCTCTCTCTCTCTCTCTCTCTGTTTGTCTCTCTGTCTCTGTCACACACACACACACACACACACACACACACACACCACACACACACACACATACCACTTGCCTTTTTCAGGTTTTAAGTAATGAAACACATAAATTATTAATGCAATGGTTGACCACATTTATCTTTTTAAAACTGGCTTTAAAGACAAGATAAGGAGAAAAGTAAAATAAAGAGCATTTTTTTAAAGAATAACTAAATTTTGGGAGAAGGTTTTTGTAAACCCAGCATCTTCTCTTTGTCTCTCGTTCAATCACTAAGACCCTGTCTTACCAACCTGGCTCTGAGAGAATCATAGTCAGTGTTCTCTATCTCTGTTTTCCCAACATGTTCCTCTAGATTGTGGGGACTGCCAGACCCTCTGGCTGCCCACCCCTACCCCTCCCACTGTATGATCTCATCTCCCATGGTTTCAGCCTTCTTGGTCTCTCTTAATATGGAAAGGCTAGGGTTAGTCAAATTTTGGCCCCAAATAGTCCCAGGGTCACGGCAGAAACTGTGGAGGGGCTAGCCTTCATTGTATTCCACAGCTCACAGGCACTACTTAAGAAGTAATGATAGTTCTCAATCCCATGATACCAGCCTTATTTATTGCAAGGAGGTTTTAGACTTGGGGTGCTTAGGCTTAACATGAGCCCTATGGATTAGAGGAGCATAAAATTTTTTTTGAGAATTTGGCAGGGCCTATGACTCCAGGAAACCTACTTGTTGACTTTTTCTAACCTCCTTGCCAATATTTTCTTCTGCTTTTATCCCCTGGGTTATCTTAAAACAGCTTGAGAAGTGCTTATATTGGAAGGATTTGGAATGGTTTTGGTAAAAGAAATATTATTTCAAACCCTCTGGCTCTGCATGGCCCATTGAACCAAGCGCAGCATAGGGATCCTGACAAAATAATAGAGGGGACTGAAATTTCTGCCTGAATTAGCAAACATTTCCCTTCACACCCAAAAATCCTGGGCCTACCAAAACAGGACATGTGCATAGACAAGAAAATGGAGTCCTTTTTCAGACTAAGTCCTTGATTCTGGCCCCTAAAGATGCTTGTTTAGCTAACCCCAGCAACTTTTTTTTTAAATTCTTTCTTTCCTTAATGAAATTCATCAGTCAAATCGTATTTTGTCCATTCTAAGGAAGGCAGTTTCCTTCCTTTAAAATTGTTATTAAGGGCAGCTAGGTGGCACAGTGGATAGAGCACTGGCCCTGGAGTCAGGAGAACCTGAGTTCAAATCCGGCCTCAGACACTTGACACTCACTAGCTATGTGACCCTGGGGAAGTCACTTAACCCCATTGCCTAGCAAAAAACAAACAAAAAGAGTTCCATTAAGAATATAGTCCCTTCAGTCAAATACCAAGAGGTTATTGACTTTTTTTATATCATGAATCCCTTTGGCAGTCTGGTAACTCTATGGACCTCTTCTCAGAACAAGGTTTTAAAATGAATAAAATAAAATATATAGGACTACAAAACAAATTAATCATATTGAAATCCAGTTGTCTATAGATGCAAAGACAGTCTAGCAATGTATATAAGAACTCTACTAATTTCAGATTCGTAATGTGCACCACTAACATTTCGAGATATTTGAGATGTGCTATGAAAATACTTGTGATTTCTATTGGTGACAAAATCAAACATACTGCTTATTATGCCATGATTTGTTGCCTACATACATAATTGAAAGAAATGGTATCTGCATCCAAGAAGAACTGATAAACAGAAGCATGTATAGAATGATTTTCCTATATGTGTGTATGTGTATATACATATATATTTGTGTCTAATGGTAGCCATGTGGGGGGGGGAGAAAAAAAGACATTTACATGATAACTTTATTGTATATTTAAAATGAATAGCAAGTTGTTCAAAATAGATTTGTAGTTTCATATGCAATCATCTTTTTCATTATACTGTTATAGAAATGTTTATTTTATTCTATAAATTAAAAATAAA